GTCTTATATTTAAACAATATTAATTCAGTATGACGGAACAATTGCAACAATGTGCATGCCACATAAATCTCCCTTTTTATGTGTTTCGGAATCCCTGGGATAAAATCCAAGTTAATAGATAGGTGCGCAGCATTGCATGAATAACTAACTATTGCATGAACATCTGAAAACCGCCAAAAACTGACTTACGCAATTTGGATATTAGCATGGCGATATTTGTTTTTGATTTGATAACTAGTAACTACATTGATACGTGAATATAATTTTCAAATGAGTTTTTAATATCTGTTTCCAAAATATTGATAAATTATAAAAAACCTGCTGGTTTTCCAACACAATATCCGGTCGCATTCACTGCCTCGCTCAGCCCTGCACATCCGATAACTTGTATTGACACTGTGCAGTTTCTGTTGGGTATCGGAGTAAAAGTTTGCGGCATCGATATGTTGAATGAGTCAATAAGGGGAGACTTTATGTTCGATCTTGTTGCAATTGTTGTGCAATATCTCGTAACCTGAGAAATATATGGATAATTAAAATATATATTCAATGGAACAGTGACAAGGAAAACTTTATTGGGCAAGTATGTAGTCGTAGCCGAGGTTTCCAATGAGTGAGTATGTAACCACTGTGTTTTGGATTACTCGTGGCGCTAAACCAAATGCGATTTTAACCACAGTTTTATCTAAGGCATTCAAACTTTAATTTTGACGGACGAAAAACTTAAAACATTTGTATGTTCTGCCATATCTATTTTAATATGGATAAACCTCATCCCAACTCTAAAATTGAAGAGTCATAAAAAAATCATTGCCATTTTATTCGGGACAAGTTTACCCGGACCTATAGCCCTTTTTTAAATATTGCCAATTTATCCAAAGAGTTTGTCTACAAGCACTCAATACTGCTTTAATTAAAAAATTTCTCAACATTTTACATAAACCTAGCTTGGAAGGGGCAATTTGACAATCCTGCCTGAGTGATCCTTTCTCTATTTCTCTAGTTAATATGTACGTCACGTACTTTCAAACCTGTAACTGTTTCTGGTTTTTCATTATTCTTCCAAATCCATTGAATGGAACAGTTAGTTAATAGAGTTGCAGATAACACAGGTTCGGATATTCCACTTGTACTTGCAGTTTTGTTGTCTGAGTATTCATAGCCACACATGCTTTCGGACACACAGGCCTCGACCTTATACACATAAACATATTGGTATTATGTATTTTTCTCGAGAAACTTTTCCACACGCCCCTTTAAATTGAAAATCTAAACACCAACATACCGTTACAAAATATTCTGTTGAGGCCTCCAGTCCAATAAGTTCTATATGTTGAGGCGTGATTGATGTAGGAACCGATGAATTCCAATAAAGTTCTTTTTTGGTAGTCAAATTCCGTCCTGAGATTCTAAAATGAAGCGAAGTAGATTGTCAGTATATGTAAGTCCTAGTAAATGAACAGACATTGTAGCTGTCGATGGTTAGCTATAACGAAATATTTATATATCCACCAAAAGTATATTCATACATTTATTATCTCAGTCATAATTTGGTATTAGATATGGTATCAGCTAAATTACATCGTAGCTTTATCTCTCAGCCATCGACATATTTATATCGACATGTACAACGAACAATCTATTATATATCTGCTTCATTGGCACTTGTTTAATTAACGTGTTATTGATGTAGTTTTTTGTACTTGTGAATAACTCCGATAGCATTTTTGTTGGGTATCCATGTCACGAACAAACTTTGATTGCATGACGAATTGGTGACCGACGTGATTGATGGATTTCCTTCCACTAAAAGACCGAAATGGATTTCAGTAATATTGACTGTGCAATTTACGAATGCGATGATATTTGATCCAAAAATAATAGGGATGATATAATTTAATTTCGAAATAGCAAGTTACTACTGTCGCCTTCAAGCTTTCTGACAACGGCCCCATAGCAACCCGATATAGGAAGTAACACACAGAGAAAGGACCTGTCTATACGAATTACTTTATATCTCCCCTTGCCATCGCCGAAATACAAATATGGTAAATGGGCACTCCGCGACACAAAAGGGATATTTTATCAAATTAATAGTAAAATGTTATTTTTGTCCGGTATTACCTGATATATATCAAGTATATATAATGACTTTTAGGCTACATTTTCATTGTAAACGAAGTTTACCTGTAACGTTATAGTCAATACCACTATAAGCATCTGTTATTTTACAGGTGTATGTAGCAATATCGGAAATTGATGCATTCTCTATATGTAATATTGAATCATTTCTTTTGATTTGTTGATAAATTCCATATTGTTTGGGCATATTCGTGACAGGACTAAAGTTTCGGTACCATTGTACCTTCATATCCGTGCATGAATCTCTCAGTCTGCACACTATATTTTTATCATTTGAGCTAGCATCGATGGAAATGGCATCTGTAAACAATAGATAGGTATTGTGATGAGCAAACATCATTTTAAACGGCACGCGTGATTCTTTTTCGCGAGTAGGCGCTATAGAGCGCTTGTCCAATATTTTTTACACAAGCGGCCTTTTGTAAAGAAATTTGTCTAAAACAACCTTAAACTTGAGTGTTATTGCGACAGATATAGGGTAAAGTACTAATTAATTTTAATTTGATCGTTTTCTTGTGTTTTTTCCAACAAAACAATATCACAAGCTCACAACCCTTATTATACCTAAAATAGTTACCGACAAATTCACAATTCTATTTACGACATTTACAAATGTAACGCTTCACTTGGCGACTGGATGACGTCACGCCCTAATTATCACTTCATATAAGCTTTGAAAAGCAACGATTATAATAATTGTCGACCATTGGCGCAGCAAGTCGTAAACGAAATTCAAGCCATATTTTTTAAATACCTCTGGCATCCCGAATAATTTGAGAGTGTCGCGCGAAAAGTATTGCTCCTACCGGCAAGAGAGGGTGGAATTGGTATGGTGGATATAAAGTTGTACTCATACGCATGCCTCTTTCAAAAGCTAGTTACTCTACTCAACACAAACAACCCAGTCGAATTCTGGCACTATGAAGCTCTCTACACATTGGGATCAAAAATAAAGTCTTTCAACCCATTACTTTATAACAACTCGGCCCCTCACGCAATCCAAATTGACCATCACTGGCAGCATATCCTGAACATAAGTCACGTTACAAAATTAGCCCCATCTGAATGGGAAGGAACAACGCTGAGTTTTCTTTACAACAGACTTAAGGAAAATACATACGAGTACTGTAGTACCGATGTTTGCGACTGGCATAAAATTAATTTAACGGATAGCCGGGTAAAGCCGTATTTTACCAATGTCGAGCGTCAGGTTTCATACCGAATTAAAAGGGACGGCTTTCTTTTCGGACACCGGAAATGGAGGTTCGGCCTTCTTCGGAATACTATAAACTCTCAGCAACCACAACGGAACTGTAAATTTTGTAACAATGCCCCAGATACAACCCCGCATATCTTTCTGAATTGTCCAGCGTACCTGGCACTCCATAGCACAATCTCTCGGACATTAGGAAAGTTAACCGGACACAACCTAGTCATACATCGCCAACAGATCTTCAATAACACCTATGATGATAAATTTGAACTTACCGTCCTTAAACTTTTCTCCATCCTTAAAACAAAATTTATTACACTAAAACACTCGCTGGACATTCAGGACAGATACGCAACAAACTGGGATATGGACAATTTACATCAAAAGGTACTTTCTGATTTCGCACAATACGTGGACAAATACAAATTCACATATGGATCAGTACAGGCCTTCGAGTTAAAACCAAATTGGAAATCCGTACTGATACAAAATACCTGCCCACCATAAATGGTAGATTATTATTAGATAATAAGATCAAAAATTCCAACGGAAATGATGAATCGGAAGCTTCACGGTGGATGTTATGCTGGGTGTGCGCGTCTAAAGGTCGTCACACAGTATGTACTGAAACCGGGGCGGCGGAAGTTGAGCTGTGCTACGCATGGCCTCGACGGAAGCCTTGAGCAGATGTCATGCTATTTGGCACGTAGAATGTACGGAAGCTCGGGGCCGAAATCTTTGCCTTGCAATACACAGGGACACGGAAGTCGCCTTGCCTTATCAGTATGACCACTGCTTATTCAGTGACATGCTTATGAAGCGTAATACCGATATGACTCGGATATAACGTGTCTTTAAGGCACTGATCCGAGACTGAAAAAAACTCTGATCCGTAAAAAAAAGTCGTAAACAATTCAATTTGTGCCGTTGTAGCGACATTTTTAAAAACATTACAGTGCCACGTATGCAATCGACCACTAAATTTACATTGTACGTCGATATAAAGTCCTTATAAATGAGTTATCGGCTGTCCTTCGTTCATGCGTTATAACTAATTCTTACCAGCTTTTGAGTACTCTGACTCAACATTTTCAAATCGATGAAACTTATATTTCCACGATAAGACGTTTACGTATAGGATATTATTAACTCTTATTATTTAACCATTCAAATTAGAACCATTTGTAAATAAATAAAATGTAACGTCCCGACTAGAGCTGGATCTATTACACCCTAGTTGAGATAATTCGCATAGAATTTGAACCTAAGAAGTTGTGCAATCTGCGATAAGTACGTATTTCAGTCTATAAGTTTAACAGCTACGTCATCGCGCCTTAATGAAATAGAACCAGTGTTCAGGTATGGGCAAATACAGAATACGAAGTGATAAATTTGAAAATAGGAATTTCCACGTATCGAACTCTATGATTGGATTACAATCTCATATTGCAATATATTTGATATTTTTAACTATCCATTATGTCGGAATGTTTGTTACTACAACTTGATTGCTGTAACTAAACTAATACCTACCATTCCAGACTAAAAATAAGGTGGAATAATGAGGTTGAAACGAATATATATAAATGAGCTTTTATTTTTTTGTCATGAAAATAAGATGATTCAGTTAAAGTTAGCACTTGTACTTAGACAAAAATTAATTTATTTGTAATAGAGAGCTTCATTTTTTACAATGTTCAAGTTGTTATCTTTTTTTAAAACAGACTTCAAAATTCGGTGGTTCATATGATGCTATACTTTTCCCACCCTCATAAAAAGATGGAATGGGGTTTTCAGGATCCGGCACCACTCTCTGCTTCTGTACAATTCCAGTTATAAAAAGGAAAATTTGCATCCTTGCAAGTTGTTCTCCAAGACAGCGACGAGGGCCGACAGAAAATGGTATCACGTGACATGATTTGACAAATTTTCCGTCTCGGTCTAGAAATCTCTCAGGTCGGAATTCGTCCGGGTTTATGAAATAATCCGAGTCATGATGAACTGCCCATAAGTTCGGGCAAACCTGAAATAAAATAGATTAAATTGTGGCAAAAATGAATGTCGTTAATATTAGGTAAAATAAATAAAAGCATTCTTCCTTATAGCTATACTTTGTCTAGATAATAGAATAGAACCGAAAATTAAAACTTACAACAAACATAATTTGTTATAAAATACAATATTCATATTCTATAGTATAGAGAGTGTTTAAAATAGAATTACCCCAAGAGTATGTGCACCAAGATGCCGGACACCAGAACCGTATATTTGTACCATGTTAGGATTTGGCCGTAATTTTACACCAGTTTTCCTAATTTTATTTCTATTACGAGCTTGCGGATTAGTCAAATGACTTCCGTAGTATTTGTACCTGGAATTATGAAGCCGGATTTGGAGCAATGCATTTTTACAACCTAAGTAAGGAGTTTATTGTGAATTGTGTCCGAATCTACCGCTATCAATATTCTTCATAACTATTCTTAACAAAAGAATGAATTCATCAATAACAATTTCTATTGCAAGACGAAATAAGTGTTTATTGTAGAAACAACTTACAGTGGTATTTTTGGGAATAGTATATCCATATAAAATCGCCTCTCCATCTGTTTTATGCATTGCCAACGGCGACAAGGTTCTGTGTCTCATCAGTTCTTGTATAAAAGCGCAAGTATAAGGCATTTCCATTCGATCTTTCATTGATGGAACCCCATCTTCGCCTGATTTAGCAAGACGGAAATATTTTATATAACATGATACAACTAAAAAATAAACGGACACCAAGCTAAAACAAGTTCAAATTTCAAAGTTTTGTCAAACGTCAACTCCCTAAAACTAAACATCAAGAATCCACGAGTCCATGAAAATCCGTATCGAGATTTATGAAAAGAGCGTCATGGTCGTTAAGTGTTCATTCGAATTATAATAACACAGTTAACAACAACAATTATCAGCAAATCCATATCTTATTTGCCAAAAAATTAATGCCAGCAATGTAACAAAACAATTATGGCGTCAACATCATGCTAAAAAATGTCAAATTATCATCCAATTACCAATACAGCTAGTAGAATCTCGACGATTCAACGTATTTTGACGCATAACTTGATGGATAGATTCAACAAACTTTCGGGTGTTGAGAATGATTTGACTATTCAGCTATTAATCGCAAAATTCATCTATTATACATAACACGAGATTTTCGCGATTATTCATATTGTAATTGCATGGATTTTTCTTTGTTTAAATTATTAGTAGATGTTTCTAGTAGTAAAAGGCTATAAACTCCTTCAAGAGTACAACTGAGAGTATGATTCTATGTTTTATTTCCTAGAATTATTCATTGTTTTGAGCGTTAATGGAGGGGTGAACACAAGCCTTCAATCAATATTTAAGCAAAATTTTGTCTGATTAAACTAAGAGACATTATGAATATCTCACCCAACGTTTTGGCAATTTCCATTGCTATCTTTTCTTGGCATTCCGGGTAATGAACAAAACAGAGCAAAGCCCAACCCATGGTGCTGCTTGTTGTAGCTGATCCAGCATCAAAGAGATCAGTTATGTATTGGATGAGCTGCAGTTTCTGAATGAAATTGATGAATTGTTTCAAAAATAATACATATTGAATTTTGATAGTATACTGTTAATTTTTGATTGGTTATCGCAAATTTATGAGACATATAATATTAATTTAATGGTATCACGAAAGTGTTATTTTAACCTGTTTATTCGAGCATTAGACCCTTAATAAAAGTGAAAAGTGTACTGCATCTGAGGGTTGGGGTAATTATGGGCAATTATGTATAAGATGATTGCTATATTCCTCGCCCTACACGTTCGCCCTTTCTTGACCATCAAGTTTATACATCTGAACAATAAATAAATGGTTAAATAATCTCATACCCGACACAAACAGGTAACCGAACGAGAGGCCCAGCTACGCAATAAGAATAAGTTGGAATAAATATAAATCTTTCCCTATCCTTCAAATTCAGACCAGTACAAGATTTGCAGTTGATTGTCTGACATAATGAGATCGAAGCATGGTGTAAAATTTAATGTTAAAAGGGACATAAATGGTGACGCATCAGTGGATAAGACAGCTTTAAAATAAGGGGAATCCCCGACATGTCGGGTATGAGAATACTCGATAGTAATTCGTTACAGACGCAAGGATCTGATGTTAGCGTCAGCAGCTTATTGGCTTTGAAGCTAGGATTTTACATAGCCTCGGATTACGATATATCATTAAGACTTTAGTTGGCGAGTTGAATTATAAATTTACATTGAAAATTGAATCATCGTTTTTGTCATCTTTTATTTCTTTAAGAAACGCATCAGTAAAGTCTCGAAGCCGATGTTCGTCAAAAGTAGATTCGTGTTCTTTGATAATATCTTGCAGATATTCTGTCATACAAATTAATTAGCTCAATGTACTTTGTTATTGTAATATAATGGAGCTGTTAGGTTAATATAGCAGTAAAGGCATGTGGGATGTGATATCAGCTGTTTTTAAGCGAGTCGAGCAACCTTTCAATTGCTTACAGTCGATGCCATTACAATAATAATTATGAAATTGTATCTTATATCAACCCAAGAAACGTTTTTCATTCTAAAAAAGGCTATTAATACTGTAATTGGAAAATTTCGATATTAGAGATATACATGGTAAATGGTAATGAAAACAATTTTAAACAATATTTATTTTCAAATAATATTCCAATCATCTACTGGTGAGTGGAACGAAGTTTACTCTTACGGAATGGTTTACAAAAGTTTTGGTATAGAGGAGGAACAGAATGAAACATTTAGTGGCTGGTGGAAACTCCGTGTAAGGGTTTAATCGTTTTTCAATCGCCTCAATTATGAATTATAAATATATATAAAAGCAGAGCTAATATTAGCAAAACAAAATGATCTTTATGTTGCAGAAAGTTTGATTATAGTGGAAAAAGTCTTCGATAAAATACAAACAAAATACGCATAATATAGATTTCGGATTTGAATATAAATTTGCGGAACCTCTGGACTGGACTGACGAAAATCCAGCGTAACTCTGATTAGAATGCAAGGACAATAGTATTATGTCTAATATACAACAATTTTCAAAATTTTTCAACAGAATTTTTTTTTAAAACTATAGTAGTATTTGTAGTTCAACAATAAGCTCAGTAGTTTAATACTATAAAATAGAATAGTATATACATTATCTCTCACCCGACATAGTTTTTGCTTCCGAAGAAATTAATTTGACAACGCCACTGAATGGGGGGATGAATCTCAATATCGATACTAGGGTTACTAAAGCCAACATATTCGCTTCAGGACAATTCCCGGTACTGTGAATTGTACGAAAAGTAAAATACATAAGAATAGGAACTGGTGGTCCTAAATTACAAACCAAATTTTTTAATCAATACTTTCATATGCTTTTCAGCCCCCTAAAATTTCAAACCCCTCTTCTAATTTTGAAGTTTGAAACCACATATCGAATCCTCATTTTCATACAATTTTATTTCAATATTCAGAAAATGCAGATGGTCAGTCAAATCCATACCACATTTTTATAAATTAGAAATAGTTCTATGATTCAAAAATAAATAAAATGATCATCTAGCACCCACTAAATTTGAAAATACCCCCATCCCTAGTAAACTGTTTTATTATTATTATTGTAAAACCATATACATGATGCATTTACTCGTGTTCGCTTGAGTTAAATGCAGATAGCAAGAGAGGGAGTCAGAGTTTTACCTGTCCTCATTTAAGTAAAATTTTAAGCTCACCGTGATGAGATTGAAAACTTTAAAAAATTTTAAAAATGATAATCGAAGTAATCGAGATGATAAGTTTATAACCAAAAATTAATATGACTAAGCGTTCCTCACAATCTATGAAAATGTACTGTCATACGATACGCTAAAGTTTTTGGAATAAAAATCGATATCCATGGAAGTATAAAGCTGGGATCGGGACTTAATTTTCATCACTCTGCAACTGGTACCGGAGACTATATATAATGTAGTTTTCGGTATATATATTTCACTCAGAGTTGGGTGTCGGGATTGTAGTAAAAAGTCTTTCACCCCGTAGTCGGGAGTCGTGGTAAATTTTAGCTTTCTCAGCCCTATGTACACCCAAAGTTAAACAATATTTGCAAAATGGTAAAATGTAAACTTACAATTTCCGAACAATATCGAGCATATGGAGAAGTCTTTTGTTGCTATAACCGAACCTCGAACCAAATACTATACGGCAGATAATGTTTGATGACGCAAGCATCAGTTTTAACTAAAAAAAAACAGGAAAATGACGTAAGAAAAAAATGTATTCATTTTCATATTCATATATTTCGTTCCAATATTTTTTACAGGAACAGTTACGACGAAGGAAAGAGGGAGGAAAAAATCTACCAGAGAAAATTAAAAAAATTACGGAACGTCTATAATGACTAACATGTATGTAATCTTATTATTTGTTCTGTAGGAATTTTTGGCGCTCCCGTGGTATGTGCATCAAGATGCCCTAACCTGAACATAGTATGTGTACCAGGTGTGGGTTAGGCAATAATTTTATCACAATATATTTTAGTTGTATTACGAGTTCGGGGACTAGTCAAGTGACTTTCGTAGTATTTGTACCTGAAATTATGGCTTAACCCAATCCTGGTACACATATCATATATATTTCCTTAACTGATACGACGATGCGATGCGTTTATATCGTATATATATTCAAATGTCTCAGTATAATAATCTTTGATGCACACGAATCATTCGACTACGTTGTCGGTTCTTAGAAACGTACAAATACTTCCTAATTTATGTAATACGCTGGTTTAATACGCCATAGAAACGATCGTTTTATAAGTTACGTTCTGAGTGTATATATACTTAATATTTTATAATAAAATATAATAATATAGCTTAATTATCTTACTTGTAAACTTTGAGTGTTCTTTGTTGTCAAATTTTCAATCAACAAATGAGTTTCTTCAATAATATTTTCTTCCATTCCTTTCTTGCCAACACCAAATCTGATAGAGAGAAATAAATATAAACTTGGGTGCATGTTTTGTGCTCAGGTCTGTGAGGTAAAGGAAAATATACAATCAAATCCAATTTTATATTTTGATATAGATTAATGAAAACTTTCTTACCCTCTCAGAGTTGTCAAGCCAAACTTATGAAGAGCTTTCCAAGTTGGTCCATAATCTTGAAAAATTATCCCTCTTTGCCCGAATAGCAAATTGAACACAAAGTTCTTGGGACGTCCCGAAAATTTTTCGCTTTGCTTAACTAATGCCTTAAATAAAAATTATTTTTCATGATGTTATCAATCAAAATTTTATATTATTTCAAATAACGATTTGAAAACTAATCCGCGATATTTTTTTTTCAAGTTTTTCGATCCAATGCAATGCGCTCAGAGCAGGTACATTACATAAAGACCGAAATGCAACTCCAATATCAACGAATCAACAATCTGAGATACGTGTACATCAAGAACCAGAGCCAGAACTATCTTCCTAACTTAAGCCAAAAAAACACTCCCGCCACCACTCAAAAATAATAGTGATGATCTAGTTGGGTTTAGGGTGAGGGCTAGAAATGCAGTTGCGCTGGAAATTAAAATGTTTGAATCATTCCTAACCCATTCAATCCTAACTGGAAAATTACTAATTTGTTATTTTAAAACGTTGCGGGGGTGTTTTCTCAAATCTCACATTTTCGCATAAGTTGCGAGAGCTTTGTACAAAGGATCAAAAAAATTAGGTACTCCCAAAATATGTGTACCGGGTTAGGGTTAGGCCATAATTTTATTCCAGTTTTTTCTAATTTTAGTTCTATTACGAGTTCGGTGAATGTCTGTGTTGGTGACCGTACATTTGAACCCACGTACATTTGAACCCATGTGTATATCCACGGGTTCAATCTATATGCGGGTGCTAAAACCCATGGGTTAGGGTTAGTATGGGTTTAACTATCCGTGAAACAAAAAAAATTCCATAGGTGCAATACCATACGGGTGCAATTGTCATGGGTTCAAATGTACGTGGGTTCAAATGTAATGGAACCGTCTGTGTTAGCTCCATTTTGGTACACATATTTTCGGAGTGCCAAAAATTAACTGAAAAATCACTTCTTATATTCATCCTACCTGATTTATCAAATCATAATCGTTCAAGATAACCCAAAATTTACGTCCGAATTGAATCGACATTATAGGACCATATGTCTTCTTCATTTTCTGCAAAGATTCTGCAGGATTCTTTGCAATAAACGGAACATATCCTACGATAGGAAGTCCCTGAGGACCAGGCGGAAAATTCTTCGGTCTTCTTAGCATGTAATAGCATAATAAAAACGTCAAAATACTAATGATAAAGGTAGCATAATCGAAGCCTAATGTCCAGAACATTATTTTGAATTATTTAATTATCTAAATCAAGATTCAGATCAAGGTTAACATGAGTTGTACTCTGCTTCGATTCCCATGCTTTAGATACCAGTAGTTTCCTTCACATGGCCTTGTTCGCGCGAAAGGGTCGAGTAGCCGCCGTACACAAATTGTATTTAATGCAAATGTGCATTTTTCCAAATTCAATAAATCTTTTTCCATCTCAAATCGCCGTAAACAATATAAATTTAAAGTTAGTACTTTATCTTAGAACATAAAATATTTGAATTGTCCTAGAATCGATCAAAAAGGGAATAACAGATTGCTACGACAACATAAACGTTCAAGTTTATTCAAGCTAACCCAGAATTACATTGCAATTACCTTTGGTTCATATCAATCCCGAATGATATTTTTTATCTGTCTTTGCTTTTTTACGATTCATTTCTAATGATACTCATATAGATTTATATTATGATACGCCAAGCTACATAATTAGCTTTATACCTGGCGACAATGCAAAACCTGACTTCGAAAAACATTTCAACCTCTAAATGCTCGTGATAGCTCGACCATGACGCTTGTTGAGAACTCGGGAACGTGAACTAGTGGATATTTTTAGACAAAAGTTTAATGGAATGTAACAATGCGCGACCGCGTTTACTCAATCGTGAACCTTGTCGTGCAGACCCCTTTAAATATTTTGAATTCTATTTTCAAATTTAACGTGGAATAACTGCTATAATATTTAATCCCCTCCCAATATATATTTCTTCAACTGCATCATTTGTCTTTATTTTGCGGTTAAGTTTTCATGATATAAGTTTTGTATGTATGTAAAAGTTTTTGGCGTTTCTATCTACGCAGCCAAGATTGACTTGCAACTAGACGTGAGTCGCGATTTCGAACCTGACTTAAGACTTGGATTATCATAGACTCGAATATTTTTGAAAATTCGCTCTGTGACGGATCCATACGCAAACTCGTGTTTTGACGAATCACTTCAAACAAAATCTTCAAACAGGCTTCATGTTTAATAGAATGTAACAATGCCCGACCGTGTTTACTCAACCGTGCAACCGTACCGTGCGTGCCGTTTTGCAGATCATTGAACTCTATTTTAATTTACGTATTCCATTAAAATCATTGATATGAAAATAAATCAGTTCTAAATATTCAATATACGGTCTTATTCGTCATTATTTTTATGATATAAGTTTTGAATGAAAGTATAAGTTATTTTGACGTTTTGTTCCACTCACATTTCGAACCAGACGGTTTCGGCCCACGCCAGCTCGAGCGAGACTTTTAGAAATAACGCGCAATGCGATGGAAAATCATCGCCGTGTTTGTAAATTTTGGTAATGGGAAAGAAGTTCTTCATTATTCTATTATTATTATTAGTCATTATTCTGCGATTAAGTTTTCATGATAATATATTTTATGATATAAGTATTGCATGGATGTACGAGCTTTTGTGAGTCATTCACATCTACGCGGTTATTTTGTCCCAGTAGGTTATTTGGAACTAATTATTTATTTGTAAAATTTACTAGTAAGAAGAACGTAGTACAATATGTATGATATTTTTGTAATGGAGCAAAACTCCATGAAATATTGAACGAGGACCAAAATCACTTGCTATTCATAAGAATTAGTGTCTTACCATTCTTGTGTTATGTTTTTATCCAATCGACAATAAATGTATTTTACAATAAACTGTTAAAATTGTGGAAGTTGAATGGTTGAAATTGTTTTACATAATGTGAGGTGCTTGTCCACATGCAAAGGACTTCACAGCGGTTTCAAACCTGAATTCCTTCGCTTAATTTCATCCTTATGCCTATATATTGAAACTTATTGTTCATGTCCCACATGCATGCAATGGTTTATTTAAGCAATATTTCATGAATCCTTAGATAGTGTTACCTTAGGATAATGTTAAATTCCGCCCCAACAACCGAAGATCCTTTTGGGGGAGGATTTTCACTCTGGCGCGAGACGTAAGTTTACGATAATATTATTTTTCTATGTATTCCCAAATTTAAAACAATTGAGCCATTTGAATATTTTCCCCAGATTTTACTGACTATTATAACACCGTCACCCTAATCATTGTATCATACACGTAGCAATTTTTGTATCTTGAAACGCTCTCTAGTTTCGAAAGTCACTTGGAACTCCCCCGCAAGCTGTTACTATCTAAAAACTTAGATATTATTAAAAATTCCAGATCCACCCCTTCACAAATTCCTGGCTACGCCCGTGTTCTATTCGACTTTAGACTAGGGCTGGGCATTTTCAAATACCCAAGAGTTTCAGACTAATGAATTACTGAAAACTTAGAATATATCACTCAGACAGATTGCTGAGCGTTCACACACACAAAAAAATGTTTTCATACTTAAATGACTACAGGAAAGAGTCACATGTCAGAATGGTGTTGTCAAAATATGGCTTAAAAAAATCGAAAAATTTACCTCGACCATTGGAGGAAAGAAAAAAAACATAATTGCGGCGATTCGAAATTTCGCTCGAATAATTTACTATTCGATTCAAATTGAATATTGCTTGTGATAACAATTTCTTAGAAATGATTGGCATGAGGACTACAACCTATAAAGCTCGGAAGAATGCAACGTAATTTGTAAATCTATGACCAATATTATCCTTATTCATGATAAAACTCTATTGTCTTACTCATTCAGTAAAAAAGGTCGGCCATCTCTGATATTTAACAATGTAACTCGTGACATTATTTTCAATTTACTATTAAATGTGTGTTGGACTTCATTTAAAATTCTCAATCAGGGCTGTACAACATTTTTGTCGGTCATTTTACCAATTTTAGACATCTAGCTGAGTCACAAAAAAATAAATTTTTTTATGTAGACAAATAATTATTAACGATTACGAAACTATAAATCAGGTAGGGTAAAAGTATATTGTTACACCTAAAACCATCTAAAAAAAATTGAAATTTAATGACCTATTTTGAGTCATTCTGAAACAAGCTGGCAAATTATCAACATGAAATCTAGTATTTCATTGGTTTTTGTTTTTTATTCCGAAACCCAATTATCGCCAAATAGTTATTGCTATTGACCTCTTAACAAAATAACATGAGCTAATGACCCTATAAAGAATAATAATGTGAGATTAGGCTTTAGTAAATGCGATTGATGCGAGACCTCATACAGTTCGCTTGGTATAACCGATTTTGCGAAACTGCTATTGAAGTAATGTAATACTAAAATTAACAACATTATGAGGAATTATTTTGAAAAAACTTTATATTACGCAGGCACTGGTGAAACAAGGTGAAAAATTTTCTGGACGTCCCAAAAACTTTGTGTTTGATATGATATCTGGGGAATTAGTGTTCAGGATTATGAACCAACTTGGAAAGATTTACATAAGTTAGGCCGGGTGACTTTAAGAGGGTAAGGGCGGTTTCATTACTCAACGACAAAATAAAGGATATTTGTATTATAGCTCGATAACAGGGCAGAACATGATCTTTTGTTCATTGAGTTCAACGCCTTTCAACCGGGTAAGAATTCCCTTCCGAAGAAGAAAGTTTGACAAGCTCAGAGAGTCAAGTTTGTATTGGCTTTGTATTTGCTATAGTATTACTAATAGTTTTAGTGCTTCATTATTACTCCAATTCATTCCTATTTATGCACACAATATAAACTACTTGACATAAGCGGATGATTATGAATAATACTTGCTAAGCATCGATTGAATATTGAATAAATAAAATGAAGTGGTTTTTATGTGAAGAAGAATAAAGAGTTCAAAAAAGGGAAAATTAGGAAATTTATCAAAGAGAATGGGAACCACTGGATAGTTTAAAAATGAACATACGGTCGATGGTATGCAATCTATACACACGAACATGGATTTAAAAAATTAACTGAAAAATCTAATCTTATTGATAATCTTGTCTATTCAAAAGGTATAACAAATGATTCAAGCATAAGGCATCGCGATGCATAGCATACCATGGTTTCATGTTCCGTTACCAGCTCAGTTTTACTAAGAGAAATCTAAAAATTATACAGTAACTGTAGTACATAAACGGTGGGGGGCAAGTGCACTTGCACACTATTATTTCTGGCGTTGTTCAAGCATGCAACTTTTTCAATTGATGAAATTTATCATACAATGTGTAAATATTGTTTAAAAATTTTTAAAATCCTGTAATCTTGGAATAAAAGCAGGTATTCATCGAACAATATGATTCAAAGCATAAAAATAAATATCAAACAAATATAATTTAGTTGAACTGTATTTTTATTGAAGTAGCATAAAAGTATAAGAAAGTAACTTAAAATTTGAGACAAACTTTTTCTGCAACATCAAACTCAAGTTAGAGCGTATTGGTAAACAACATGAATTTGTAATCGGAGTTTACCATGTTACCAATTTTATTCGGAGAGACGGATACGAATTCTTATTTTAAACCTCCCCGATTAGAGAGTCAGAATCGAAATTTCAGACCGTAATGATGATGTAAAAGTCGATTTTTCCACAAAAACTCGGAATGCAATAAATGTTAACAATCAGTTAAAATAGTTTTGCGTACGCTGAAATATTTTTCCATCAGAATTCAATATTTTAGGAGTTTTAAACTAGAATTAAAGACACAACATTCTGTATATGTACATGTGCTAATTCACATTTAGTGAAATCTATAAACTGTACTGAAATACAAAAACCATCAAGATAAATCTCGTAAATATATTTGTTTCAGATGATGATGAGCTCGATTTTTGCAGTTTTAAGTGACAGATACTTTTTTGCGGGTATAAATGGATCTGAGTTTCAAGTATTAGGTCTAACCTTATTGAATCTGGGGTGAAAACTTGGACCTAGTGCGAGATTTATTCATATTCTGAAAACGTAACCGAGAGAGGAAACGTAACCACCTGAGATACGGTTGAGAAATACTGGATTAGCCTATCAATATGCCTCACGAAATTTGAACTGCTTTGGCAAATTTCTGTTTCGGAGGAATAAACTCA